GCAGAATTCATGGTTCCGTCAATTATGGCAAGTTGTCCAGGTCCTGAAGTTGCAAAGCAGCCCCAGATCATCACACTACCACCACCATGTTTGACTGTATGTATGATGTTGTTTTTATGAAATGCTGTGTTGGTTTTACGCCAGATGTAACGGGACACACACTTTCCAAAAAGTTCAACTTTTGTCTCATCAGTCCACAGAATATTTGCCCAAAAGTCTTGGGGATAATCAAGATATTTTTGGGCAAATGTGAGACGAGCCTTTGTGTTCTTTTTGGTCAGCAATGGCTTTTGCCTTGGAACTCTCCCATGGATGCCGTTTTTGCCCTGTCTCTTTCTTATTGTTGAATCATGAACACTGACCTTAATTGAGGCAAGTGATGCCTGCAGTTCTTTAGATGTTGTTCTGGGTTCTTTTATGACCTCCTGGATGAGTCGTCGTTGCGCTCTTGGAGTAATTTTGGTAGGCCGGCCACCCCTGGGAAGGTTCACCACTGTTCCAAGTTTTCTCCATTTCTGGATAATGGCTCTGAGCGTGGTTCGCTGAAGTCCCAAAGCCTTAGAAATGGCTTAATAACCCTTTCCAGACTGATACATGTCAACTATTTTGTTTCTCATCTGTTCTTGAATTTCTTTAGATCGCGGCATGATGTGTTGCTCTTTAAGCATGCTTCACTTCATCAGACAGGTTCTATTTAAGTGATTTCTTGATTCAACAGGTCTGGCAGTAATCAGGCCTGGGTGTGGCTAGTGAAATTTAACTCAGCTTTCTAAAAAAATGTGGTTAATCACAGTTCTTTCATGATTTAATAGGAGGGGGGCAATTAATTTTTCACGTAGGGCCAGGTAGGTTTGGACAGCTTTTTTCCCTTAATAAATGAAATCATCATTTAAAAACTGCATTTTGTATTTACTTGCATTATCTTTATGTAATATTAAAATTTGTTTGATGATCTGAATCTTTTAAGTGTGACAAATATGCAAAAAAATAAAAATAAAAAAACAGGAAGGGGGCAAAATCTTTTTCACAGCACTGTATATATATATATATATAGTGGCTGTAACCCATATTTTTGCTAAAAGGGGGAACAATTGGAAATTATTTTTGTAGTCATCAAATATTATGCCACAACTGCTCTCACTGGGCTTAACTTACGCTGAATCTGCAATAGTCCTTTAACGTCCCTGTGTGTTTGTGTGTGTCAGAATGCTGGAGTCTCTCTAAAGGAGACTATGAGATATCTGGAGTCTGTCTTGAGGAGATCGAGGCCATGCTTAGGGAGGAGATACAGGGCCAGGAGCTCGGGATCTATGTTTTGACCTCATGGATGCCGAGATCAAATTCTACCAGTGAGACAGAGCAGGTAACCAGCAAAATGTCAGCGTATCTCTCACACATCTGACCTGTGACTTCCACTGTCTGATATTGCCTGTAACTTGTGGCTGTTTTGCAGTTGTCGTTGTGAATGTCAGTAGTGTTTGCTGCTCTGCCTGGAGAGAGAGAGAGTCCAGAGCACACAGGTTCTTACCTGCTCAAATCCTGCTCTTCTAGTTCCCCTGATGCCATGCCGAACTAATTGTGATGTCCATGCCACACTAACTGTAACTTTAAAACAACACTAGATGTTCATGTGAGTGGATCACCTTTATAACTTGTATATTACAAATATATAAGTTGCCTGTTTAGTGTTTAATGCAGTGTACATTTGTACAGATATTATTATGCTAGTTGTATTCAAGTTCCTACATACTAAAACTCATTAGCCATCCTACATCACTGTGCTTGTATAAAAGAAAACTATAACGACCAACAATTCGTTGCAGCATCATTCAACGGTACCAAACAAAACAATCATCATATCAAGATAATCTCAAGCTGAATTGAATAATGATGAAGCTTCTGAAATCCGAATCAATTGAACCAATTGCTTCACAAAATGATTCACTCTTTTTTTTATAGGCGCTCGAAACAATGGCGACACCCGCTGGTCAAAACGGCGTGCAACGTAAACACAGTCAAAGCGTGGGTTAATCACTGACCCATAAAATATTCTCTATTATAGATCAGTGGTTAAAACAACTTTTATAAAGCAAAAGTTTTTCTATAAAGTGTAACCTATTGAATGAAATATACAAATAATTAAATACTATTAAATATGAAGAGTCTTTTAATAATATATAGTGCTTGTTAATTGTGTCCTCTCACCCAGGGGCAGGTAAATAGGCCAATTATATATAACAATTAACTAGCATCTATCTGTTAACTTAAAAGTGAAACTAAATTATAAAACTAACCCTAGATCAGTCACAACCATTATACGCCACTACTACTTGTCTTGACTATATTTGGATATGACAAGGCATCGACAAATCATTTTATCACATTGTCCAACCATAGGCCACGCCCACTTGCGTTTAGTCGCTTTATGTCTGCACACTACTTCATTTGTGTTTCTGCAGACTTTGGAAGAGTTCAGTATCGGGGAGGAATGGATGGTGTATTTTTAATTGCCTAGGCCGTCCCAGACAGTTCGTTTCGTATGTTCGTTTGGTGCATTGACTGCATATTGTTTTGTAAACGAGGTACGGTGTAATGGAGAGTTCACACAAAGAAACATTCGTTGAAAGATGAAGCAGCCAACTACTGAGTCTGACAGCAGCTGCAGCAAACCGTGAGTAAACAATTTCATAATGCTTTGTCTTGTTTTGTATGGATAATGTTTTTAAACACTTATTCATGGGGGCGTTAGTACAACGGATCTATAACAGAGTTCATGTACATTTAGTGGATTATACTTTTTCCTATGGATAACAGTGGCCTTTTACTGGAGCCACTCCTTAAAATGGATAATATCGGACAGATGAAAATAATAATGAGGGTTTTTTTTGTTAACAAAGACCTCAAGGAATGTAAGTTATTGCACTAATTAAAAAAAATCTGAGACATGACAGTTTAAAAGATGCGATTCTGGACAACCAATCAACATCGCGGAGAGAGGGAGACCATTTTTGACGTGTTCTAAATCCTCTGTATGACGTAACGCCTCAGGCCCGATCACAGCAAGAACTGTAACAACCTTAATTTAATTAATTAGTTATGGTAAAATAACGCGATTAAAATGTTAACGCACCGCCCGGCACCTAGACCTGTACGTCGTCTTATATTTCATACAGTTGACTGTTGACTACGTGATGCAGGACAACAACTACATAGTCCATAAATGCAGTTATGTGCCCCCAAAATTCAAGATATTAGGCCAAAAAAATGCCGCTGTATGATTTTTTTCTCATATTTATATAAGCGATATCACACGAGTGCTATTTTTGTCCCCAATAGCATGCAAAAGTGATTTCACTAATGATTTCATACAGCAGTTAAGTAAATAAGTTAATATTGTGTTATTTTTAACAAAATATTGTAACAAAATGTTGTCTGTTTTTGCGCAGTTCGCCGACGCAAATATTACCTATTAAAACCACATCACAAGTGTTGTGCATTTCTGAGCACAAAAACACAATTTCTTTATATATCCGCATTTTGAACGAATGGGGTGAACCAATGATTCAATTACCCATTCATAAAGATTCATTCCTGAATGAATCAGCCGTTTGAACAAATCCAATTAATGAATAAATGACTCAATGACTTGTTCATTAAGACATTTTACTGCCACCTACTGGCAGTTTAGGTTTCTTTTTTAGAGTGTAATTTAATTTAAAAATCATATTTATTATAAAAAAAATCTATATTAATAAAAAAAACTAATTAAAGGGATAGGTCACCCAAAAAAGAAAAAAAAATCTAATTTCTGAAATATCGATTTCATGCTTTTCTCATATCTTTTGTAGGTAATTTCTCAATTTGATGTGCGATTAATATGTGATCAATTAGATTAATTTGCCACACTGTGAAAGTAATTAGATTAAAAATTTAAACAATTGACAGCCCTGGTAGAAAATACTCCAAACTCGATAGTCTTCAGTGACTTACTAATAATAAAATGTATAATACAAAAGCAGGACATCCTATCAGAAGCCAACATCTCAGAGAATTGGTAGTCTTTGCATCACAGCTTCACTCATCACAGAGTTTGATGAAGCACCTCAGTGGGTGACGGATGGGCCTCTGTGTTCAGTTTCCCGTGGGATCGCTGTCTTGGATGGTGATGTTGAGTGGCATCCCTCCACACCCATCTATGGGAAGGAATCACGGCGTCAGGTGGCGTGACACTCTCACTCACCCTTGCTCAGCTGAGTCACTCTTACCATAGCGAATACCTGCTTTATATCTCTCACTGACAGTGAAGATCAATAGTGAAGCTTCGCTCGGTGGGTGACGGTTGGGGTCCGATTCAGCTTCTCGCGGGAGGCTGACACCTGTTTGGGAGGTGTTGTGCTGAACTTGGTGGAGCTAGAAGGAGGTCAAAACCTCCTGTGCTGTGATGCATGAGAAATAACAACAACAACAATAATAACAATATATTTGCAAATAACCTGTGATGCAGTGACTACCAATGGGAGAAAAGAAAGTGGTCCGCCACCTGATACAGCTGGATACAGAAAAATAAGTCATATTAAGAATGAATAAAGAATAAGAATAATAGAGAAAACTAAAATGATAATGAATAATTTAATTTAGTACTAGTAGTAAATAATACCATGTGTGAGGGCTCTGACCGGGCAGCTTTGTCTATGTTGTCTTTGTTTGTCTTGTGTCTTAACATATTGCTTTGTGTCTGCCATGTGTTCCTTTGGTCCCACTTCCTTTCTTCCCTTGGGCACGCCCTCTTGTTTAACCCTTGTCTTGTTCTCGTTTCATTAATTGTGCTCACCTGGCCCTCATGTACTTTCCTCCTTTCCTCCCTTTATGTTGTGCTGGTTTTTCCTCTTGTGTTGGCTGGTTCGACTTGTGCCATAGAGACAGTTATACTGATTTGCTGCTCTGTATTCCAGTCTTGCCCTGTTATTTGCTGTGATTGTATATCCTTGCTGTAGTTTTTGCTCTTGATTTCTCTCTTTTGTTTTTTGGTTTTGATCTTCAGTTATCTTGCTTATATTTACTTGTAATATTTTCTTTAGTTCTTCTTCAGTCTCATTTCTAGTCTTGTATTCTCGAGTCTTAAAGAACTTTGTTTTTCTACCTCCACAAGTGCATCTATTATGTTGCCTTGTTTATCTAAAAGTGCACTTTTCCTTGTTTTAAACCTAGCCAAAAAGCCACGTGTTGACGTGAAACACAGCCCAGATAACATGCGGATGTGGGCCACTTAAGGCAATGATATGACAATGACACTGCTGGCCTTCTTATGGCCCGGACAAAATGGATGTAAGCCTGAAGTGGCCCATATGTAAAACAGCAAAAATGGCCCAAATGTATCAAATCACATGTGGGCCTCTGTAGGTAAAGATGCGGTGTTGACGGCAATGTGTAATCTGAATGTGACCCTAAAGTGGCCCATATAGTAAACGGTGATTATGGCCCAAATAGTGCCAACCAAATGTGGGCCACCTTTGGCAAAAATGTGGCATTATCGACAAAGGCTAATGAGGGTGTAAACCAAATGTGGTTCACATATGTTTAAGCAAATGTGGCCCAGGTACATTAAAACGTGTCTGGGCCAGTTTTGGCAAAGATATGGCACAGTGAGCATTGGCTAATGTAGCTGTGAGCCTAAAGTGGCCCGCATATGATGCCACAAATGTGGCCCAGTTATCCTAAAGCGTGTCTGGGCCAGTTTTGGCAAAGATATGGCACAGTAAGCACAAGCTAATGTAGCTGTGAGCCTAAAGTGGCCCACATATGATGCCACAAAAGTGGCCCAATTATTAAAACCATATCTGGGCCAGTTTTGGGAAAGATATGGCATGGTAAGCACTGGCTAATGTGGCTGTGAGCCTAAAGTGGCCCTTATATGATGCCGCAAATGTGGCCCGCATATAGAATGACAAATATTGCCCAAATAATTCATAATAATTTGGGCCACTTTTGGCAAATATACGGCACAGTCAGCATTGGCATGTCAGTGTGTAAGCCAACTTGTCCCACATTTGACATGGCAAATATGCCCCATATATTATAAAACAGTTGAGGACCACTTCTTGGATGTAACACTTGGCACTGGCTAATTGAAATGGAAGCTTGAAATTGTAAATATGGCCTAATAGAATTTGGCTACTTTTAGTAGGATGCAACACAGTTAACTGATGCAGGGTGATCTGATGTGAGTCTTAAGAAGGCTACATACACAGCAATTTATTTTTTAAACATGCTTTTAATGGCAGTTTTTTATATGTGTACTGTGCAACATTAAAACAGAAGTGCACTATAATGATTGTACTCTTACTGTCACGGTTTCTGTTAATTTGGACTTTGTTTTCCTTTTACACTGTTTCCCTTGTTGTTGATTGTATTATTCTGTTCAGGTGTGCCTAGTTAATTATCCTTGTTTGGTCTGAGTACTTAAGTTCCTGTATGTTCACTTTCAGTTTTTCTGGTCTTATGTCTACATATCTTAAATGTTGCTGTGCTACATTGTGTTTGGATTTACTCTTGTTGGATTTATCCTTGTTGGATTAAAGGCTTATGATATATAACCTTTCATCTTCATCATGCGCTCTTTAACACCGCGTAGCTATGACACTCACAGACTTACTGTGTAGGTAGAGTCTGAGTGAGAAGCATTTAAGTTCAAACTTGTGAAAGTTTTGGTTTATTTAGTTGGCTTACATGCAGCAATGCTAAGGCTTACTTGAGGCCCAAATCTGGCAAACAGAACTGGACTGCCCAAATGCCATTATTACATGCAGTATGTGGGCCGGAGCAAGGTGTTGGATCTGGGCCGGTTCTGGGCCAGAATTAAAATAAATGTGGCCCAGATTTGGGCCAGTTCTGGTTTATTTTATTTATTTATTTTCATGGCTGACATACGGCCTACCTGTGGCTTGCTTGTGGCCCCAAATTTGGCAAACAGGAGCGGACCGCCCAAGTGCCATCATTCTTCACAGTATGTGGGCTGGGGCAAGGGGTTGGATCTGGGCCGGAGCTGGGCCAGAATTAAAATCAATGTGGCCCAGATTTGGGTCAGTTCTGCTTTATTTAGTTTATTCATTTCTGACATTGGGCCTTCATTTGGCTTGCTTGTGGCCCAAATTTGGCAAACAGGAGCGGACCGCCCAATTGTCATCATTCCACGCGGTATGTGGGCCAGATGAAAGTGTCAGGTGTGGGCCTGATCTGGGCCTCGGGAATTTTGCTATCTGGGAGTAGTTCTATTTATTGTGAAATTACTACATTTCCATGTCAATCCATGTTCATTTTTACCGCGAACAATGCACTGTCTGTCACTTTAATTCAGTGCGTGCAGCACAGCAAAAATAGACTCGTTGTGGAAACAATCGCTGTACTGCTTCAGACGCATCGCCGGGCCGCAACCGCGTCCAGTGTGAACGGCTCTAATCCGTTAACATGGGTCCCTTCCTGCTGACTCTGACAACATGTAAATATTAATAATAAATTGCATAATAAAATAAGTTATATAATTTTATGTATAATAAATAAAATAAATGTTCACCAGTGATAAACTCTTTTGCTAAAAGCATTGCAACAAGATAGTTTAGTTGAACCCAAAGTGTATTAATTGACAGCTGGATATATGCAGATATCGAAAATTGTACTTTGGAAGGCACTGCAGATGAATAAATCAGCTAAGAAAACAACACAGCAGGTGTGGGCAATGATGGGATGAACAGGGAAGTAAATAAGCTGATAAACTGAGGCAGGTAAACCAAACTGACTGTGAAGTGTTCAAATAAACAGTCTAGTGCAGTAGTGAGCAGGAGACAGACAGAAATCACTGGAGACTCAGGTGAGTATAGGAGATCGCTGGAGATTCAGAGGTGAGTATAGGAGATCACTGGAGACTCCGGTGAATATAGGAGATCACAGAAGAGTATAGGAGCTCACTGGAGGCTCACAGGTGAGTATAGGAGATCGCTGGAGACTTGAATGTGAGTATAGAAGATTGTTGTAGATTTAGAGGCGAGTATAAGATCGTTGGTGAGTATAAGATCGTTGGTGACTCAGAGCAGAGTATAGGAGATCGCTGGAGACTCAGGTGAGTATAGGAGATCGTTGGAGACTTGAAGGAGAGTATAGGAGATCACTGGAGATTTGAATGTGAGTATAGGAAATCACTGGAGACTAGAAGGAAAGTATAGGAGATCACTGGATATTTGAAGGTGAGTATAGGAGATCACTTGAGACTCAGAGGTGAGTATAGGAGATCGCTGGAGACTCAGATGTGAAATATGAGATCACTGGAGACTTGAAGGAGAGTATAGGAGATCACTTGAGACTCAGAGGAGAGTATAGGAGATCGCTGGAGATTTGAAATTGAGTATAGGAGATCGCTGGAGACTCAGATGTGAGATAGATCACTGTAGACTTGAAGGAGAGTATAGGAGATCACTTGAGACTCAGAGGAGAGTATAGGAGATCACTGGAGATTTGAAATTGAGTATAGGAGATCGCTGGAGACTCAGATGTGAGATAGATCACTGGAGACTTGAAGGAGAGTATAGGAGATCGCTGGAGACTCAGAGGTTAGTATAGGAGATCACTGGAGACTCAGAGGGGAGTATAGGAGATCACTGGAGACTCAGAGGTGAGTATAGGAGATCATTGGAGACTCAGAGGTGAGTATAGGAGATCGCTGGAGACTCAAAGGTGAGTATAGGAGATCGTTGGTGACTTGAAATGGAACAGGTAAGACTTTGATGAAGGTAAAATCACTTGAGGATCGTTTACAGTGAGACAGGAGCGATAGAAGAACAAGTGACAGGATTAATATGAACTAATTTTGTTATATGAACATAATTACACTATTTTAACATCATCTAGGAAACGAGTTTAATGTAACTGTGGAGCTTCAATTACCTGCTAACAAGATGCCACACAGTGCACACTACATGCTCATATAGCATGATCTATTCCGCAGTAACTAATGGCACATCATTCACATCAATGTTTGTTAAAACTCCTCTTTACAGAAATGCTTCAGTACAAAAATAAAAAATGCTGACAATTATTAAAAAAAAAACCTATCCCTCAGTTTGTAAGAAAAAAAAACATGTATCGAGTGTACATTAATTTACAATGGAAGTCTGTGTGGGGCAAGACTTTGCATTGGAATAAATGTTAAAATTCACAGTTTCAAAAGTATAACCATAAAACATATACATTATACGTGTTGACATAAAACTTTATGATAAAATGGCTACTAACCGTATGAGCAACGTTATTCATTTTTAACTGCTGTGATGTAAATCCGGTAATTTTCGCATGACACACGTGGATACTAGAAACAGACTGTTCATTTACATAGAGAAAACTCAGTAACACTTTATTTTACAGTGTCCTTTTTACATGTTACGTGCACTCACTATAGTATAACAGTAAATAAGGCATAACTACTTGCAACTAACTATTAAAGCCCTAATCTTATAGTAAGTACGTGTTGTGACTTAATATTACTCAGTACTTAAATGTACAGTTACACTTGTAAGACGGACACTGTAAAATAAAGTGTAACCAAAAAATCCACTACAGGAATTACAAACGTAGATACACATTACATTATCAGAAGTTCATCCTAGAGCAGTCCCACACATAAAGGACAATTTACAGTAAATAACATATTTTTGTATAGAAGAATCAATCAAATATGCGTTTTTAAATCTTCTGTAATCATGTACTCCATATTTGTCTTTTGTAAATTAATTTCTGTAAACACATTCTTATGGAATTACTGTCTTTATTATTTGTCTGCTCTCTTAACAGGGACCTGAGCAGTGCTGAGATTCTCCAGGATCAATACGTAAAGATACTCTGAAAATGGATATGATGTGTTGTTGTTATTGTGTGTGTTCAGCTGTGGACGCTGGACATCTCCATCAGCGATGAGAACAGACAGGCCACTGAGAGCATGCTGCTGGAGGAACAGTATCCTTCACTCTTTATGCGTCACACTGATTAATTCTTATTTTGTTCATGTTTGGTTTTCACATCCCATAATGATAAATGGATGTGATCATTCATTAAAAGCTTGTGGTTGTTTTTCTTAAAAGGTATTATTTTGCCAGTAAAAAAAGCACCAAAGGTGGAATGGACCAATGAGAAGACTAAAGTCAAAAAGTGAGCTTATGTTCATGAATATGTAAACACCTACACAACCATTCAAAAGTTTGGTGTGTATGTAAGATTTTTTAACACTAATATGCCAGCAAAAATAGATTTAAAAAATGACAGTAAAGACGTTTACATTGTTACAGACATTTCATTTTTGAAGTAAATGCTGAAAATTCAGTTCTGCTGTCACAGGAATAAATTACATTTTAATATATAAAACTGTTAAAGTGCCCCTATTATGCCATTTTTAAGGTTGCTAATATTGTTTTATGAGTCTCCTAAAACAGGTTTAGATGCATGCAAGGTCAAAAAACATGTTAGTTTTCTCAAAAAAATTTATTTAATTTTGCCTAATTTCTAAATGATTCGTAAACGACTCGTGCGAAGCAGTTCAAAGAATCAGTCTCTCTAAACCCCTCCTTTCCGTGAGACATTACTGCTGTGATTGGTCAGGTGGCACAGTCCTTTGTGATTGGTCCAGAGCCGTAGAGAAATTGGCTCTGGATTGGTCTACAACCCGCGAAACGCCCATTGCCATGACGGAATGACAGCCCTGGAGACTTGTCAATACATAGAAAAGATGGTATCGATTGTACCTTACCAATTCGAGCTGGAGTCTAATGATGAAACGGTTGACCTGGCTGATCGACAAGAGATTCGCAAGCACGACTGGAGCAGGACGTTTCTCAGTGGTAAGTGTCAAGTGTTAACAAGTTTGTGGTAATTATAAGATGTGATAAAACACATTTACTCTCACAGTGTAGGATACAGCGTCTTCTCGACATGATGTTAACCACATGGAAATGTTACTGTTTGTGGGCGGGCAAGTTGGCGACGTAGAACGTGGGCAGACATTATGCAAATGTTACTTCGTGACGTAGAGCCGTAACCGAATAAGATTTGAATTCCTGACGACTCGTTTAGGCGATTGCGAGCCGACTCTTTTTTGATAGACGATAACTTTATTTATCGTGCACTGTCGGCTTCACAACTTTGCAGATAGTTTATGTTCACATACAGCTACATGACACACTGCATGAAAGGTAATATTCGAAAAGGCATAATAGGGGCACTTTAAATTGTTTGTAGTTTGTTTTTTAGGCACAGTTTGGACAAAGATTGCCAAACTAATCGGCACTAGGACAGTTCTACAGGTGAAGAGCTATGCTAGGCAGTACTTCAGTAATAATGTATGACTTTAGACCATTTCCACATTACTATATGAAAATCCATACGCTTTTGGTTCAAGGTGTGTAGTGCTTTAAAATTAATTAATATATAAGAGAATAAATATAGACAACCGAGGGGGTATTTTTAAAATCTAAATTTAAAAATATATGTATTTTCTTTAGACCTTAAAAAATATATTGCCACCTCTTCATTCTTCTGTTCATAATGTTTGGGGTCGTACCACTGAAAAGACAACCTGAACTAATTTAGCATGTTATGATATTTATATGATATTTTTGATTGTAATGATATATATTTTAAGAGACTTATTATCGCCAATACACAATATTATCGTGCTAATTTATTTATCTATTTACTAAGTTTCATTGCCGGAAAGTGAACCAACTCCAGCATAAGGCTAAAAGCAGCCTAATGTTTTTAATATGACTGAATTTGTATTTAACATAAAATTTAATAGAGACATTGTAAGTTACTCATTATAATGCTTAAATTTCCTCAATTATTCAAAAAGCATCTACAGAAAACGAGCAAAGAACATTTACATTACCTAAGAACTTTGACTTTCTAACGCGAGTATATGCACTTTAAAAAACACTCCCATTACAATCAGTGAAGCTATCTATGCTGGAATTTGAAGACAGACATGTTTAGTGTTAGAACAAAAATAAAATAGGTGAGTGTTTTTGTGTTACGAGTGAATCACGATTCAATTCAATCGATTCCTTAAGTCATTCATGATAACCGAATCAAATGTGTCGACCTACTAAATGACCCCATAAAGAGTGTTTAAACGCGTTTCCCCACAAATGACAACAAAGTAGTCATTTGACTTAAAAAAAAAAAAAAAAGGCTACAGAAAGTCATCAATACAGCCAATGAAGTAATGTCCCCACTTGTTCTGGCGAGCAGCATGTTCTTCTTGTTTAGCAATGAGTTGACTTGTTCAGTCTATTCATGAACAAGTTCATTCAATTTGTTCACGAAAGAGACTCGTTCAGTCTCAACTATTGTTCAGAATCGAAACACCAACTCATCAGTGAAGATCGGATCATAATGAAATTCTCTTCTATAGCATTCAAATGTTGTTTGTGTTTTGAATCTTAAGTGAATCACTCCGTTTCCGTATCTTAAATGATTTGTTCAAAAAGACTAACAAAACAGTTCATGCCAATCGACCGACAAAACTTCAGGGTTGGGTTGATCGGTTTGAAACGGTTCCATGAGCGTGTGGAAAAATAACCTTTTATAAGAATTTATAATATTTAAATTGAAGCAAAAGTAACAGGTGATATTATTACCAAGCTTTGAAGATGAAAGAAACAGTTAAAAACATGTTTTGAGGTGCTTTAATAATTTACATATTTTAAGTAATATACATCAAGAGGTAATGACATTTCTCTCATTAAAATGCATCCAATAAAAAGGTTAAGAACTTTGATGCCATATGATGCAAATTAAAACAATTCTATAGTGCACTCCCACATTAGAAATGTGATTACAACAGCATGATTCCATATAGTTAAAATCCTAAAGTGTTGTCATGTAAAGCTTGCAGTCATGTAATATAATATATGAATGTAGCCTTGTCACCAGTCTCGCTCATGTGGTTCTCTGTAAGGTATGCCGAGGTGTTTGAAGACATCCTTCTCCGTCGGTGTGTGTAAAGGAGTTCCCGCCACCAGCTTCACACCACGCTGCCGCACCACAGCACAGTTCAGCGAGTGCTCTGATAGGCTCATGTGTTTGGTCTTAGCCAATGCCCTCATTGATCTGTTGAAGTGGGCAGAGCCAGTGAAGTACAGAAGAGCACATGCAAATTCAGCATAGGGCACTACAATGATGTCTAAGCGCCTGTGGCACTGTGAAGGGCCTGGAAGCCGGCAGATGCCCATGTACTTCTTCTGTTCATCATTCTCCTCATGGCTAACAAGGTCATCTGTCAGGAAACCTGGATGAGAAAATAAAAATAATAATATCATGAGCATAATATAATAATAAACTAAAATTACATTAACCGTGGGTTTATTGAATCATAAATTCAAATGATTCTACATTTCTCTGTGATATATCAGCATACCACTCTGATGGAGGAGGTGCAACACTTTGCCGAAAACACCCTTGTGCGATTCTCCATCAGGGTGAGTGATGAGGACGTCCACATCTCCACACGTGCTCTTGCCCCTGCGGTATGAACCACACGCCATAACCACCAGCTGTGTGTCCACACTGTGAGCTGCCTCCTGCACCTGTCAGTCACATAATAGTTATATATTTTAGTTATGTAATTTACTTTGTTTTTGTATAACTGATATCATTTATATACACTAGTTTTATTTTTTAAATTACTACTTTAAAGGGGTCATATGATGCGATTTAAATTTTTCCTTTCTCATTGGAGTGTAACAAGCTCTTTGTGCATAAAGAAGATCTGTAAAGTTGCAAAGACTAAAGTCTCAAATCCAAAGAGATATTCTTTATAAAAGTTAAGAGTCAGCCACACCTACCTAAAACGGCTCGTTCTAACATGCCCCCACATGTCTACGTCACTGTGTGGGAAGATTTGCATAACGCCGCCCAAATGTGCACGCAAAGAAAGAAGGCATAACTTTTATTCTCACTGTAGTTTTGTTGCTGCTTTCCGCCATGTCCTGAAGACGCTGTGTGCTTCGTTGTGAAAGCGAAACTACTTTGTTTGGTCTTCCAAAAGAGGACGATATCCGCTTCGTCATGCCTAGAGCTGATCTGTGCTGGTCCACTTGTTGTTTGTCATTTCTCTGATCACAAATGAAGACAGGGTGTTATGTTTAAACGGCGCGGCGCAATGCAACGCAACGCAACGCGTAAAAAGACAGTGTAAGTCATTATAATCAGTAATTATGTCCCCACTGGATGCAACAAATGCCTCGTTTATAATGGGTTTTAATGTTTTTGTCTCGTCGCTCCGGCCGGGACACGGCATCAACAGTATATGAGGGGCGTAACATTTCCGTCTCACGCTTGAGGTATTCGGCCAATCACAACGCATTGGATAGCTGGCCAATCACAGCACACCTCGCTTTTTCAGACCGATGAGCTTTGTAAAAATCGACGCGTTTCAGAAAGGCGGGGCATAGAGGAGAAACAATAATGTACAGTATGTGGAAAATAATGTTTTTTTTTTACTTTAAACCGCATAAACACAATTCATTACACCAAATACACAAAATAATGTGCTTTTTAGCAGAATCATATGACCCCTTTAATAACAAGGATGCATTTATTTGATCAAATGTAATAGTTAAAACTTTAATGGTGTTCTTTAGTCACTTCTATTCATAAATTATTATTTTTAATGATTTCTAAAGGCTCATATGACTCTGAAGACTGCATGAAATTCAGCTTTGCATCACCGGAATAAATTATATTTTAAAATATATTACCATAGAAAACAGTTATTTTACATTTTAATACAATTTCACATTTTCTTTATTGACTAAATAAATGCAGACTTGCTGAGCATAACTCAACATTTTCAAAAACACTTACCTTACCGATATATATTTAAATTATTTTTTTCTCCCTCTCTGGCATCTTTATTTGGAAAAAACGTGCATTTATGACTATAGCAGAATAAAATAGATGAAGTTCTGAAGTTACATTTTTAATTAATTTTTAAACACTCATTTATACCTAGCATTTCATTAATTTAGAGCTGAAATGCTGAAGGTAATAAGTTTACATGCTCTACATAGCATTCCTGTCAAGCTAGGAAAGCACATGTTGCACTCATCTTCATCTGCCCTTTTTATCTATCAGGTCTGTTAAGAGAAAAACAGTGGGACGTTCCAAGCAATAGCAAGAAAACAACTGGCTTGGGCCCAAGACTCTGTAAGGGAGCTCAGTAGCTTCTGACTTATGAAGCGCCAGCTTTCAAGAGCTCCCACTCTTCCTATGGGACGACAGACTCACTAACAATCTCTGTTATGTCCATCAGCTGACCAAAGAAGATTGACAGTTTTGCTGCCGCCAACACAAAATTGTTTTCATTTTTTTTGATTGCTTGTCTTTTTGAAATTCAGTTTTATTATTTACTGCTGTGAAAATCAAGTAGCTACATTCTTGTTCTTCACAACCGGACGATGTTGTTATGGATGGTAAGAACAAAGAAAGCCCCTCCGCTTAATTGCTTGGTTATGGCTATTTTCTTTACTGCAGGCCATTAAAAAAAAAAAAAAAAGGTCTGTACAAACCGTTTTCTCGATGGCATTTGCTTCACTTCTTGGCATCCGCTCAAGGAGGTCATCGTAGTGTTTTAGTCCAATCCTTAGAGTGTGATTCAAAACCGCCTTAGTGCGAATATCCTCCAATGTGCGAAATCCCTTTGATAGTAAAAGAAATCAAATCATCCGTTTAAACTTGTAAAATATTATGGTTGTTGCTTAATATTACTGAATATGTTCCACAAAGTTTAAAGTTGCTGTAAATGTTCTGCACCACTAATAGCACCAAACATAATAGCAAAAAAAAACAAAAAGTAGTTTCCCAAACATTTCCCATCTTAGCTTGGAAGGAAGGTTAAAAAAAAGGGGGGGAACCTGGCATACTGGTGAGCCTACTGCTGACTTTCTCTTCTGAGTACTAAGTTCTGAGAACTTGGAAGTGTTTTAGAAAAACAGGTAGTCCTGCACTACATTCACATTATTGATTGCAGCCGTTTCTATGTTTTTTTCTGATTAGATAACAGGCTCACTTTCAGATTTATTTATTTTTATACTTTTTGGCCATTTACAGAGTCTAGGGCTGTTAGACTAAACTGTTTCTCAAGACACCTATTTTAGTGTTTATATTAATTTGTGGGCATGTTGCATTAATTTGTTCCCTCATTTTAGTCAAGTCGTGGCCAAGATGTACCAATTCATCGTCTCGTTTTAGTTAAAGGAATGGTTCACCCAAAAATGAAAATTGTCATCATTTACCCACCCTCATGTCGTTCCAAACCTGTATGAGTTTCTTATGTT